GCAGGACCCACAGTAGGCAAGGAACCCAGGTGAGCCAGTTAGTATTCCACTCTGGTTCCACAGCCTGCTGGGGATGTTAGTTGGCGGCTCCTCCATGGAGCTGTGAGCACAGATGTGTACCTGGCATGGTTCACGAACTCCCCCCACACCTGTCTCTTCTGCGGCAAGAGATGTGTTCCAGGGTCTCCACGTGGAGTGTGTCAGGTTGCAGCCCCTCTTCCGGCTCCTCCAGGACCTCTTACTGAGGCTCTGGCTGCACTTTTCCCTGCACCTCCAAATTCATGCACACCCCATCCGTGGCCCCACAAAGTCAGGAGAGCTCCTCGTCAGCCTCCTCCTGGCACTGGCCAAGCTAGCCATCTGTCATACCAGGAAGAGGAAGCTAGACGGAGTGGGTACTCTCTGTCTGCAGGACCTATTTTTGGTCCCTCCTCCGGTCATGCATCTGGGCAGAGATTCTCTGGGCAATTTCCACTAACTCCTTAGACACCTTTGAGGAGCAGTGGACACTCTCAGGGGTTCTACATTCCGTGTTCCCCCTCTGGAGCCCTGATTTTTAACCTTTAACTTTCACTCCTGTTCCCAGTTTTTCATTTGTTGTCCCCAGTACTTGCAGCTTGGGTCCAATGCCTGCTCCCCCATGCCTGAGGGGGAGGGCTTACACCCACCTGCCTCAGTACTACACAGTGTGTGCTAAGCCCTGCCCCTGTCACAGAGCTATGAACCTGCAGGGAAGTGCCTAGCTCTGCTTTGCAATCCACAAAGGAGGAAGATAGGTGGCCAGATGCCTACGTCACATACAGGGTTCAAAATCATATGACTGGGGGTAGAGCAGAGAAGGATTTCTCTTATAACCTAATAGATAGGGTACTCACTCGGGATGTGGGAGACCCGCAGTTTATGTCCCCCTCCCCCTCACTCTCCCCTTCCTTTTGAGGGGGAGTAGGGATTTGAACAGGCATCTCTGCCTCCTCACACATGAGTGGCTCTAACCACTAGAAGAACAGGAGTACTTGTGGCACCTTAGAGACTAACAAATTTATTAGAGCATAAGCTTTCGTGGGCTACAGCACATGATGGCATATATCACATTGGTAGATGTGCAGGTGAACGAGCCCCTGATGGTATGGCTGATGATCCTTTACTCTCACAGATCTTGGGAGACAGACCCAGGAACCTATCCTTGTAACAAAGCCCGATGCCAACTCTGTCCACATATCTATTCAAGTGACATCATAGG